TGATAAGGATAATTGTACTAATGATGATGATATTAATGTCGTTATTGTTATTATTATTATTATTACTTAAATTGTTATTGTTTTAATATTATTGTACATATTAGTATTGTTATTGTTATTATTATTAATATTGTTATTGTCATTATTATTAATATTGTTATTGTTATTAATATTATCTATATTGTTATTGTTTTAATATTATTGTACATATTATTAAAACTGTTATCATTATTATTGTTATTATTGTTATTGTTATTGCTAAATATTATTATTAGTATCATTATTGTTGTTGGTAATGACTGTAGTAATAACAATGGTAGTAATAATAATAAGAAAAAAATAATGATAAGGATAATAATAATAATGAAAATTGTTCATATTATTGTTGCTATTATTATTTATTTTAGTGTAATTGTTATATTTAGCGCCATTGTCGTGGGAAGGTACAGTGCAAGAACTTGACAATTTATAACGAGATGTATTGTCATAAATTTGGTTCATGGTGAGGGTCAAATTCACCACTGGAAAATGATGCAGTGTTTTAGGTGAGGGGGAGGGGAGGGGAGAGGAGAGAGGGCATGGGAGGGGAGAGGAGAGAGAAGAGGGGAGGGGAGGGGAGAGGAGAGGGGAGAGGAGAGGGGAGAGGGGAGGGGAGGAAAGGAGAGGAGAGAGAAGAGGGGAGAGGAGAGAGAAGAGGGGAGAGGAGAGAGAAGAGGGGAGAGGAGAGAGGGGAGGGGAGGGGAGAGGAGAGGAGAGAAGGGAGAGGAGAGGAGAGGGGAGAGGGGAGGGGAGGAAAGGAGAGGAGAGAGAAGAGGGGAGAGGAGAGAGAAGAGGGGAGAGGAGAGAGAAGAGGGGAGAGGAGAGAGGGGAGGGGAGGGGAGAGGAGAGAGGGGAGGGGAGGGGAGAGGAGAGAGGGGAGGGGAGAGGAGAGGAGAGAGGGGAGGGGAGGAGAGAAGAGGGGAGAGGAGAGGAGAGAGGGGAGGGGAGGTGAGGTGAGAGAAGAGGAGAGAGGGGAGGGGAGGGGAGAAGAGAGAAGGGAGAGGAGAGGAAAGGAGAGAGGGGAGGGGAGAGCAGGATGGAAAGGGAGGAGAGGAGAAGGAGTGAGCTGCACCTGTCTATCAAGAGGGGGGGGGGTGGAGGAGAGGATGCGAAGAGGGAGGGGCTAAAAGCATCAATATCAAATCACCTCTGTCAGCGCCCCCCACCCCCACCCCCACCCCCTCCCCTCCCCTCCCCTCCCTCCGCTCCCTTCCAAACCTTGGCACGCCCCCTTCCCCCCTCTCCCCCCCCCCCCTCTCCTTTGTGTTGCCTCGCAGGTGTTGTTAGTTTTATAACTTCATTGCGCAATAATGGCAGCCTTTAATGTATGTTGTTGCTGTTGTTCATCTTATCTGTTATATTATTATTATTATTATTATTGTTATTATTATTATTATTATGTTTTATTGTATTTTATTTTATTATACTTTTTTATCATTTTACCAAGAGTATTATTATTGATATCGTTATTATTATTATTATTTTTTTATTGTTATTTTCATAATTGTAGCTATGATTATGATGATAGTTATATTAATTGCGATGGTAATTCATAATGTTCTTTGCTAACTTTGGTATCTTTGTGTGTTATTATTTAGGTAAATATTATTGGAGAGAGAAGGGGAGGGGGAGAGAGGGAAAGAGAGAGAGAAAGAAAGAGAGAGAGAGAGAAGGAAAGAGATAGAGAGAAGGAAAGAGATAGAGAGAAGGAAAGAGATAGAGAGAAGGAAAGAGATAGAGAGAAGGAAAGAGATAGAGAGAAGGAAAGAGATAGAGAGAAGGAAAGAGATAGAGAGAAAGAGAGAGAAGGAAAGGGAGAGAGAAGGAAAGGGAGAGAGAAGGAAAGAGAGGGAGAAGGAAAGAGAGGGAGAAGGAAAGAGAGAGAGAAGGAAAGAGAGAGAGAAGGAAAGGGAGAGAGAAGGAAAGAGAGGGAGAAGGAAAGAGAGGGAGAAGGAAAGAGAGAGAGAAGGAAAGAGAGAGAGAAGGAAAGAGAGGGAGAAGGAAAGAGAGGGAGAAGGAAAGAGAGGGAGAAGGAAAGAGAGGGAGAAGGAAAGAGAGAGAGAAGGAAAGAGAGAGAGAAGGAAAGAGAGAGAGAAGGAAAGAGAGAGAGAAGGAAAGAGAGAGAGAAGGAAAGAGAGGGAGAAGGAAAGAGAGGGAGAAGGAAAGAGAGGGAGAAGGAAAGAGAGAGAGAAGGAAAGAGAGAGAGAAGGAAAGAGAGGGAGAAGGAAAGAGAGGGAGAAGGAAAGAGAGAGAGAAGGAAAGAGATAGAGAAGGAAAGAGAGAGAGAAGGAAAGGGAGAGAGAAGGAAAGGGAGAGAGAAAGAAAGAGAAAGAGAGAGAGAGAGAGAGAGAGTAATGATAAAAAACAATACCTGACGGATATAAAGAGATTAGCGAAGGAGTGAGCGGGAGACCGACAGACCGACAAACAGACAGATAGATAGAGGAGATAGACAGAAAGAGAGAAAGAGAGAGAGATAAAGAGAAAGAGAGAGAGATAAAGAGAAAGAGAGAGAGATAAAGAGAAAGAGAGAGAGA